CTCGACCATTGTGTTGGGGGTAGCAACACAAGATGTCTCATGTAAGATATCGTTTTCTTGAAAATACAAAACGAGACACATAAATTCAGTCACATTATCACTTCGAACAATTTTCACCAACTTATGAAACTATCGTTGCCCCATAGAAAAAAACACTAGTCAACGTAGAAAAAACACAATTTTTGTCTTCCAGCAGATACAGCCAGACAGCTCGGGAAAATTCATCAATAATTGTCAATAAATATTTAGGTCCAGAAAATGATGGGACTCTATAAAGACCCGAGAAATCATAATAAATCACAACAAAAGGTTCCAAACTGGTACTGTCACTTAAAAGAAATGAATCTCTAGTATGCTTTGCACGATAACACACATCACAAGCTGTATTATCAAAACTACTAACTTGACTAGGGGCCAAATTACATAATTTTCAAAGAATACTAACTTGACATAAACCCTTTTTGTGATAATACCAATGCAATCAATTTCTCTAAGAATCATGTTCAGCACTCCTGTACGAAGCACATTGATATATGTTACAATTTTATTAGAATTATGATTGAGGATGATGTGATTATTCTTTAATATGTTCAAACACTGAACAAATTGACTGATATTTTTACCAAAGCACTAGATGCTTAAAGGCTCATCTCTGTAAGAAAATCCTTAGAGATGTGCACTATATGATTGCTTGTGTACAATTTCATTATATTATTTTGTATTGCATATTTGTAAGTCTATTAAATAATTACATTGTGTGTAAGCATATAGATTATTATATTAGTCATAGTACTTTTCATATTGCATTAATATTCACCACATAATCATGATAGATGTTCGACCTCTGTATAATCAGATGAGATCTTATTAACTGAAGTTGTTTGCATGTTCTTACATGTTGTGGCACTTTTTATTTTTGTTAGAAAGAGCTACTATCACACAATGGTTTATTGAGAAAGCTAGCACATTGCTCTTTTCCTATGAGATCAACTGTGAAAAAAGCTTCATAAATAGAAAATGATTTGTAGGGTGAAAGCTAATGACAAATAATGCACTTAATTGTGGTGTTCCAACATGGTGTTATAAGGTGGTAATCCTCGTAATAAACATAGTGAAACACGAATAAACAGTGTTTTTGCACAGGTTCGATTTATATTGCTTAAAATCATTGTTGCAAAGTAATGATGTCTTTCACCAATGCGTGATTGTTACCAAGTGAAAAATGACTTTGAATAATAAAAGCTTTTATTTTATGTGCATAATTTGGAAAGATATGATTTGTACTGTATCATCAATTCCGCTCCGTAAATCTTGTCCTCAGGTGTGTTTGCATCACAAGATCGATAGTTTGGTTAATCATAAAACAAAATCTAGTGCATATGGATTAGAATGAAAATTATTGATTTTTGTGTATTTTGTATGAGATTTTATTTTATTTTGCATATTTGGGCATATTGCATAAGATTTTCTTCTATGAGTAAATTACTTGGACATTAAAGATTGTGTGAAATTATATTTGGGATAAAATCTGATTTCTTGAGTTGAATTTTAAAATATTTGGTAAGTTAATCATATGTTAGAAGAGAAGGTTAAATTATGGTTATTAGAGGGATTAGTTGCCAAATAACCACCATTTCTCTCCCATCCTTGGGAAATTAACCGTTCAGTATTGTCCCTTCAACTTGTCACCTTTTTATTCATCGTTTCACGCAACCTTCTACAACATCTTTAATTTTCCCATTCGTTTTAAGAAAACCCTAACCATTCTTCTTCCAAAATTTAAATTTCAAACTTGTGTTCCTTCACCCTGATTTGCATCCACAATGACTGGTGACAATAGCATTTCCAAGAGGTTCGGTCCACCTACAACATCCTCAGATGTTCCACCATCCTTCGCACTTCATTATGGGAATATTTGCCTTTGACATTTCAGTATAAAAAAATGGGAGAAGTATTATGTTTCTGAAGATGCTGGGGAAGTGAGTGTGCTTTAATAACAAAAAAGGGGAAAGTGCGACAGTCGAGGTCGTAGGTAAGCCGTTGGATCATGCGTCGTCTCAGTGGTACAGATTGACCAAGGGAGATGGATTTGACAGATGTTAAAAGATCAACGTTTTGTGAGTGTTGATCTGGCTGAAGAACAACGATCTAGAATGGCAAACGTGTCTTAGGGTTTTAAGCATTTTTGCCAGGATCGACTCCCAGGTCGGCCAATGAATGACATTTAAGGTTTAAACGGCATGCTGGATGCAGTGGTACGGCCTGAATGAGTAGCTTGAGTATGACTGATTTGAGGAGCTTCAACTCGGTATCCGCGTTTGACCTTATAAATGAGCTTGCTTAGACAACTCAAGGTACGGGTCAACCTGATTAGAAAGTTGAGGTTCCAGCTCCTTCAGGAGCTCAGACAGATGAAGAGATGTTATTACCTGAAGGTCGTATGAGTAAGGTCGGTCATTCGACCTGGTTAGAGCCTATGACAGGCAGGTCATAAGGCCGCTAGGACGATCTGGGAACCTAAGAACCGTTCAGTAAAGGGGACAAAGTCCTACCAAGGATGGTAAGTGTGTCTCGCTAAAGAGTCTAAGATTTCAAAGACGAGTTAAGCTTAAAAAGAAGATATGGCAAGATCTCTGTCCTCGCAAGAACTCTACTTGGGCAACAAGACACCCTAGGTATATAAGGTGATAAGGTTTTATTTTTACATAAAGCATTATTCACTACAAGAAGAATCATTTTTAGTGACGAATTTTTGTCGATGCCATCGCAATAATCATTTTATAGTCATGACATTAATGTTGTCACTAAAATTAGTGTCGCTAATAATGATTATTCTTGTAGTGATTATGCCTTTCGCAGACAATTTCTGATATTCTCACGAGCGAGTACTGACTTGAGTCTCAGAGATTTTTTCGCCGAGACCCATATGTGCACCGAAATTCAAAAATGAAGGATCGTTCGTGTTGCTATCGGTTTAATTCGGTTCAAAAGCAATTTACGCCGGCATCAATCATTGTTTTAATTAAATTTTCCTTATCTCCTAAAAAACATCCATAAATCTTTTATTACACAAGTGCAATAATGTGATTCTGGAATAGTTCCACATATAACATAATTATTGATTATGTGATAGTGAAGTCATAACTGGTGTATTTATTAAACTTAGATTGTATGATAACATATTTAATTAAATTAAATGGTGTTAAAGAAGTTTCCGAAAATATGGATTATATGATACATAATTTGCAGGTACCCGCTTAAAATCATCACATACTCTTGCTTAAAAACTTTGACACCACGAGTTTTTTGTTTATTTCTCTAAAGTGTCGCATGTTTAAGGTACAATTTATAGAATAAAAAGAAATTAAAGCCGTTTTCCTGTTAAGTTTGAATGCATCTCTAATGCATAGTATAGTTTTGTAAGATGGCTGTTAAAAAATTGTATTATTTAATTGTTAATGAGTCCACTTTTTCTAAAGTAGTTTTTGACATCAATTTTAATGTTTTGCGACTACAAGATCTCTATCAAGTTAACAAGTAACAACAAAAGAAAATAGGGTGACAAACAAATGGGTAAAAATTTTTGAGCAATCCATTAATTTCTTAAAGTGACTAGAAAAGGAAAAATCTATTTTTAAGTCTTATCTAACCAACCTTCTTGATTATTGTCAATTGTTTTATTTTTTTATTTTTTTTTTTGGATTTTAATAAATGCATGCTCATTTCCATTTTGGTGTGTACCTGAATCCTGATCCATGAATTTATAGATCCGGGCATATTACCACTATAATTACTAATCGTATAACGGATCTATATGTATGTTGCTTTCAAATCTTAATACTATCATGTCATCCTAATTTGTTCAGAAATTCCACCACAAATTAACTCATACCAATCAAGCACGCGGACAGTTTAGTTCATTTTCAAATACATCATTGCCAAACTCTCTCTC